CAATTTTCAGTAAATCACATGAACCATTTGTGCAGTTTAGTTTTAAATAAATGGAATTATCCATATGTTTACTATCCTATGTAATAATATTTATAATACATCAGTAGCACATAGACGACAAATAATTCACTTGGAAACAACAGCGAAAAAACAACCTGGTTGGCCATGAAGTGTCTTTTCTTGTAGTTTCCGGTCATGTAGGCCTACCAAACTACTATCGAACTAATTGGCAACGTGTTGCTTAGAGATACCGTTAAAATCACAATCATAAGTCGGACCCTCCGTGTTAGATATTCATGATTCATAGTTGGCCCCATTTTATTTTATTTTTAATATAGAATCTTGAAGGCCCTCATCTCATTATCGTTCTCACTTTTTTTTTTCTTTTAAATCTATTTTATTTTAATAATTGGTATTACGTATTTGTGTAGATGTTTTCCTCTTTTTTTCCTTCTTTAGGAGCAGATAAACAAATTTGAAATTTCTCGGTTTTCCCCCTTAGCCTTTTGGAGATGTGAATTTGGTTGTAATATTTATTTGATTACAAAAAGTAATGATATTATTTCTCTTAAATTTAGAATGTCTTGTTAATGAAAAAACAATTATACGATATTTAAGTGTGATTGATGCGAGAAGTTCACACTCTAACTATCACGTGTAATGCTTTTCTCGAATTAAGAAACACCAAACTAAATTTGATTGATCTTAAATGAGAAATATTTGATTTTGTTTTCTGATCGTACTTCGCAAAATTTACCTTTCAAACAAGAGGCATGATCCTGATTCCTAAAACCGTTGAAGCCAATAAAACAAGAACCAAAATCGGTTTTTTTTTTTGTATGTGTGTGTAAAATGAAGAATTATTCGAAAATTCGTGCATCACCATTGATATTAAATTAGACTACGAATTGACTTGCAAAGATTTTCTTAAGATCGGATCACATCTATTGATCAATTATTTAATAGTTCAACAACTGAGTTAATAAATACACATCTTCCATTATTTCAAAATAAAACCATTAAACATTAAATTCGACTAAATGTGTCTTAATTTTTTGAAAATAAAGTTATTGTGTTTCAAATAAATACATCAATATCTATCTTCGTTGTTTCAAAATAGAAATCATTTTTCATTTTAGGTAAAGTTTTTATCTGAACTTAATTATTTACGCTTTCGTGATAACCACATAACAATGAAACTACAAGGCACTCATTCTGTTTAATAACTTTTCTTATTTTGGTCGCTTTTAGTGACAAAAAAGTAAATTATAGAATACCACGAAAACGGAAACGTAAATGAGATGAGAAACTTTGAGCAATTTAAGCCAATTAAACAGGGATTTTAGATACTCTCTTTAAGTTTTTAGCCCAAAAAAGCCACATTTTTTGGTTATGTTATAAAAAGTATTTTATGGACAATATGGAATGGACAGTTCCTAGTTTATTTGAAAATAAGTAAATTCTTTGATATTTATTTCTGCTGTGTAACATTAAGATTTTAGATTCTTAGGCCAATAAACTAGTTTATAAATTAACTCACTTTAATTTATTTTTGATATAAAAATAATTTATCATAGTTTATAAATCATCTTAAGATAACTCATAAACTAGCTTATAAATTAAAAAGCAGTTGAAAATCATTACATTACATCACTAAAATTTCAGCCGAAAAATATATAACGATATGACATCCTAACTTACTTTATTGAAAATCATTAGATCACTTCCTACTAATAACTTTAAAAACAATACTTAATCTGTTATATATATATATATATAATATATATATATATATATATATATATATATATATATATATATATATATATATATATATATATATATATATATATATATATATAATAAATTGATATGAAACATTTGAAAATGAAATTGACCCAAATTCACATCTCATTTCAAAAAATATACTATATATTTAGAATCCCATCCCACTAGTGATCTTGTCATAAAATTAATTTTAGAAAACTTTTGTTATTAAACTAAAAAAAAAAAAAAAAAAAAAAAAAAAAAAAAAAGTGTTGTATTTATTTAACAGAAGAAAATTTAGTAAAATCGTAGAAATTGAGGCGTACATGTAACTCTAACATAGCCCACCCTCACTGTCAAGAACACGTTAATTATTTAACGACCGGCCGACACGCCGTGATTTGTCCGTCTAATCGTTGCCACCTATACATTGTGATCCACATATCATATAGATATCACCGTTCATATTCATATATACATATACATACATACCCAAATTCTTCATTTTGTTCGAGAATTTTTGGGGGAAATCAAAATTAAATCATGGGTGTCGATTACTACAACATACTCAAAGTCAATCGCACAGTTAGCGATGAAGATTTGAAGAAAGCGTACAAGAAATTGGCCATGAAATGGCATCCTGACAAGAACATTGCTTCCACTGATGATAAAGTCGCTGAATCCAAGTTTAAGCAGATATCTGAGGCGTATTATGTCCTCAGCGACCCCAAAAAGCGTCAGATCTATGATTCATACGGGGAGGAAGGTCTCAAATCGGGCCAATTTGATGAATCGTCTCCTACTTATAGAGGCACAACCAAACCCACCTCGAGATTTAGGTTTGATCCGCGTGATGCAGATGAGATTTTCGCTGAATTTTTCTACGGATCTGATGCTGGCGGCGGCGGTGGGAAGAAGAAGGGGAATCCAGCTGGAGTGTTGAAGAATTCTAATCAAAAGAGTGTGAGGAAAGCGGAGACGGTGGAGAATAAACTTAGTTGTAGTTTGGAGGAGCTTTATAAAGGTTCCAAACGTAAAATGCAGATTTCGAGAATTGTTCTTGATGATTCCGGGTATGGCCTTTTAATCCAACATACTTTTTCACCTCTCGCATCAAATTTAAGTTTAGGATTCCATTGATGAACATTTTTCTCAACTAATCCCTTGAAATTGTGTTTTTGCTACTGCATCTGCATTGCTGAATTCTTCTGTTTTCAGAAACGGAATTAGATCTCTTATTTCTAAAACATTAGTATTGGAGTTGCAATTGCAGCAAACCAGGGACTCTCGAAGAGATATTGCCGATACACATCAAACCAGGCTGGAAAAAAGGAACCAAGATCACATTCCCGGAAAAGGGCAACCAAGAACCCGGAGCTGCTCCCGGAGATCTTATCTTCGTTGTAGACGAGAAGCCTCATGACGTTTTCAAACGAGATGGAAACGATCTAGTCTTCACCAAACGAATCACACTCTTGGAAGCTCTCACCGGAAGAACAATCAAGGTGGTGACGTTGGACGGCAGACAGCTCATGATTCCGTTGACCGAAGTGATCAAACCAGGCCACGAGGAAGTGATTCAGAACGAAGGAATGCCAATTTCTAAAGAACCTGGTAAGAAAGGGAACCTGAGGATCAAGATCGATATCAAATTCCCTTCAAGGCTCACCGGAGACCAGAAATCAGATCTGAAAAGGGTGTTGGGAGGTGGCGGAGGAAGCAGAGTTGATGACTAATTTCCGTTGTGAAAACTGTGAGTACCTTACCTCTAACCGTTGACAATGGAAGCACTATCAAATGTACATAAATGAGTAACTTTGTTGGTATTATCAGAGAGATAATTGTGCATAGTAGAAATACTTTCAAGTCTTATTTGATCTTAAGCTAACTTAATAATCTCTATTATCTGTATATTGAATTTCTAAGTTTGGGGGGATTCAACACATTTTGTGTTCTAAGTTATCCCTGTTCTTTGTTTAACTAGTTATTTATTGCCTACTAAACCATTATTGATTCTTCTTCTTTATGCAAAATATGGAAATTTTGGCCTCGTGTTTTGTATATAACGGTTTTATCGGCTTGATGGAAATAAAAAACAATGTTTTTTTTTTCTGTTTCTATTTCTATTACTACGAGTATTAATTACAAATTTTTTTTACCATAATTAAATGGGAAATGCATTTATTATGAAGATTAATAACACAAGTTATAAAATCCCTTTATTGATTTCTTTTTAGATCATTTTTGGGTATTTTTGTCACGGGATTTTCAGTTTATTGGTTGTGTGTGTATCTAATAAAGTTTTATGTTGTATTATCAAATTGCTCCAAGATTAGGTTCTTTTGTTCCATTTTAGTAAGATATTTGATTTTTTTTTAATTGGAAAACATTACAATGAGATGATATATGGTTGAATGTTGAGTTAGATTGGATTGGTTGTGAATGCTGATAAACTATCTTATTTTTTTTATTTATTGTAGTGTAGTGTTTGTTAATGCTTGATACCATAAGTTTATAAATTAGCTTTTTAGAAAGCTATTTGAAATGACTTAAGTAGCTTTTAAAAAGTTATTTGAGATGTTTTATCAATAAGTTATAAGGGTTTTTCCATGAATTTTCCATATATACCATAACATGTTCGTTTCCTTTACTCTTTATGTCAATTTTATAAGTGTATTAGTTCTGTTACTTTATCAACTAGCTTGTTATATAAAGTTGGCATTTTCATATAGTATTAGTATTAATCCCGATTTTATTATACCTTTAGATCTTCGATTATAAAGTTATGTAAACCGAGTGCTTTTAGTTGATAAAAATTTCCTTGTAGAAGGTGTAATCATGCTTGATTAATGTCTTCTCGATAATTCATACACATATTCCATACACAACAACAGTAACGATTAGTTTCTTATTACCAAAAAATCATCTTATACACATATTAATCAACACTCAAATACTTTTATTAATAGTCACACAATATGTTGTCTAGAGAAATCACGACTCAAGAATGGAAGTACTTAAAAACTTTATTCAAACATTAAAATAGCACAATCGTGATTTGTTGTATATCATTAACACATGTATCGATTTCAAAACCTGTGTTTCTCAATCATCCTCTGAAGTTCATCTTTCTTAACCCCAACAATCCTTTCACGTTCTTTCCCTTTCTTCACCAATACAAACGTAGGCATCGCCTGTACTTCAAAATCCTTAGCGACATCCTGTTCATTCCAAAATCCTTCAAAAATTCAAAAACCCTAATCCCAATTTCAACAATCATAATCATCAGGAATTGAACAACTTACAGGTAACTCATCGACATCGATCTTGATAAACTCCACGTCTGAAAACTCAACTGCTAAATCATGAACAGCAGGTTCGATAAACTTGCAAGGGCCACACCAGGCTGCTGAGAAATCAATCACCATCTACAGGTTCCATGGTATGTAGAACTTCAATCATCTTCTCAAAATATCATATAATCGTACTCAGAAATCATACCAAGGTTTCTTACCAGTTTGTTGGATGTTCTAGAGCTTTGAAATTGTGTATTCCAGTTATCTAAAGAATGAACCGAAATTACTTTTCCATCGTCTGATCTTTGTTTTGAGGAGATCTGAGCTCCCATGGTTCTTGTTTCTTGAGTATGATTTGAGTTCTTGTAAACATATATATGTATGTGTGTGTATATATATACAGATTGGAAACTGAATTCAGGAGTGGGAGATCTGTTTTAGATCATAACATGGTATACGATTCTTTTTTCAATTTGTAGTTGCTAATGAATTCGAACCGTTGGTTTTTAAACTAGTGAAAAGTACTTGGAAGCATAAAGGTTGTATGATCTTTTTTAGTTGTACTCCATTTGTTCGTGTGCATCTATTCAAGGTAAGTGCTTGATGTGATAACTTATTTTGATGGACTAGAATAAGATTCTGGTTGTTAATTTCACGTGTACAAGTCCATGATTCATCATTAAGGTAATCAATCAAACTATGTGGCATTTCGCTTTTGTTTAAGTGTTCACATTTTACTTCCTCCCCCATTATCTGTCTTCATCTCTTTTTGCAGATTCTCTGATTTGGAGGCTCCTTTATTTATCTTTATGTCTTACTGTTCAATTTGAGTTACTCTCTATGTTTGCCTCTTTTCAGGTTTTAGGTTGCTCATGACAGATATCAACTGAAAAAACTATCATAAGCAACGGGATTTTTATGTTCACATAATATCATTATTTCAATGATATTTTATTAACAAAAACAAATAGTTTGTTACCGATTTATGATATTTTTTTTTAGAACAATGGTATTTTGTAAAAACAAAAACAAATAGCGTGTTACCCTTTATGACATTAACCGTTCTCCATTCTTGAAATCTGATTTCCCTTGGGGGACCGAGGGCATAAGATTCTTTGTAACATTCTACGATTAGAATATTTACCATAATGTTTTGGGACCCGCGACATCGTATTCTTCATAAGCTTTTTTTTTATAATTTATATACCATTTTAGTATATTTTCTTAGAACTCAAACCTGCAATAATCGTAAGACTACTTAAAGAGTCGAAGACTTGTTTGTGTATAAATCTTAGGGGATTAAAATATAGACCAATCCTTGGATGTAAACTAGTTGCGCCGCTAAGGGCATCTCCTACACTGTTTTTTGTAGTATATCAACAAATTTGGTGTTATATTATTTCTTTACGACAAACTGATATAACATCTTCAGGTGTCATTTTTAGTCTCTCGTCTTTCATGTTTATATTTATAAGGGTGATTGTCACTGTAGCCCAATAAAGTTACGTATAATTGTTTAAATGGTCTCTTGTAACTATTTTTTGCATTTTAAGGACATAAATTTGTAATTTCTGGTTTTAAAATGACACTTTTGGAAAAATGAAGGGGTCACCCGGTGACCCCCATCCTTCGTAGCAGTTTTCCATTTCCACCTAATATCCAAATAGTTTAATTTAGTCCACGTTCTTCGAACACTTTCTTCTTAACATCCTCATCGAAATTTGTTGTTCAACTGTTCTTCAGTCCTATCCATTCTTCAAGTGTTCGTCACTCAAATCGGCGAACTTTGTCGTTTCTATGGCCGTTTTCATGAAGATTGATCTACATTTTGCAAGAATCCTTACCAGGTACCCTCTATTACTTACTCAGATGGAGCAGTGCAAAGATTTGATGATGTTGATTTTGCTGGAATGGACAAGAAGGAATTTGTCGAGTTCCTTGAAAGATTCACATTTGAGATATGTGTGAATGTGTACTTTTGCATGTCCGATATTGATTTTCCTGATGGATTAAGGTTAATCGTGACCGACATGGATTACATGGAACTAATCGAAGTAGGGTATACTTCAAATTGTGTAATAAATATGGACCATCTTTGTGTTAATGTACATCAATGGATTCTTGAAGAGCAAGCAGAAGTTTGCAGTTCCTTAGACTAATTATCCGGTGCAAAAGAAGATCATGAAGAAGTGCACAGTCATATGGATATGGATGATGGAATCGACATGCAAGATTTACATGGTGGTAGAGATGATATCATAGGTGCAAAGGAGGATTTGCAAGGTGAGCAAGATGGCATTCACATGGAAGTAGACACTGAACATGATGAGTGCATTCCTATGAGCAAGACAAATGATGATGAGTTTCTGAGTAAGTTATGCCCAAAGGAGCAAGTCACCCCCCGTAGTCCACCTCGTGAAGATACATATGATCCACCAAAAGAAGATGAGGTAATATCTACTGACCATGATATTTACAATGAGAATGTTCATTGGGAAAAGCATAAACTTGTATTAGGTATGAGATTTGTGAGTCCTAAACAACTTAAACATATGATGGGTAACTATCTTGTAGCAAATGGTTATCAGTTATGTTATAAAAAATGATAGTAGAAGACTATTAGTGAAATGATGTTCTGGGTAGTGCAAGTTTAGGATGTGGGCTTCTTGGATGAGTGAGGAAAATTCTTTCCATATTAAGAGTCTTATAAATGAGCATAATTGTGCAAGAAACTTCAAGTTAGGTTCAATTGTGAATTATTCATGGATATGTATCCATTACACAACACAATTCCTACAGAAACAAAAGGTTAGTGTCGAGCTACTTAGGGATGAGGTAAAAGAGAAATTTAGTATAGATGTGAGTATGAGACAGTGTAGAAGAGCAAAGAAGTATGCAACTGAACTGATTGAAGGAACACTAGTGGAGCACTAGGCAAAGTTGTGGTCATATGGTGAGCAGATTAGAAGATCAAATCTAGGATCAACAGTTAAAATGGGTGTCAATTTTATGCCAGATGGTAAGAATTATTTTAGCAAGTTTTACTTGTGTTTTGATGGGCTTAAACAAGGGGGAAGAGGGAGTTGTAGAAGGGTTATAAATTTAGATGGATGTTTCTTAAAGGGGTTACGTACTGGAGAGCTAATATGTGTTGTAGGAAGAGATGTCAATAATCACAATATACTATCAAATAGTAGAACCCTTTTGTTCTTAAGAAATACATGATAAGAGAGAATAAAAAAGAAGCCAAATTTTATGTTAGGTCTTTTCTTATTTCCCTGGGATTGTAGTTCAATAGGCAAGAGCACTGCCCTGTCAAGGCGGACGTTGCGGGTTCGAGCCCCATCAGTCCCGACGGATCCAGTAAGTACATCATTTTACCTCTCCATTTTATGTGAAATGAAAGAAAGGACAGAGATCATAATTTAATTCCAATGTGGTTTCCCCTCTTTTTTTCAAGATTCAGTCAAATAAAGAACAAACACTAAACTAAAATAAAATGAAAATAACTAAAATAGTGAAGTTGATAGAATATTCCATCTTTTCTCCCACAAATCCTCTTTCTCATACTTCTTTGTCTTCTAAATAAAATTGAATCTTTCAAAATTCCAACCTAATTCCTCTATTTTTCCACTTCGCTTGTATGTTTTGTTGGCGTTTTGTCGTTAATGGAAATGGAAACTGACGAGAATACTGTTGGATATTTTGGGACCACTAATAAATGTACATAAATAATGTTATCATTAATTTTATATTATTATGGAAATTATATAAAATTGTTGATGGACCAATTTTATTAATAAATAAAGATATACATTTATTTATGTACATTTATTAGTGGTCCCAAAATATCCAACAATCTCCCACTGGATCACGAATGTATAAATGTATATATATATATATATATATATATATATATATATATATATATATATATATATATATATATATATATATATACTATTTAAGCGCTTTAATGAATGTTATCATAGTATTGGTACCCTTAAACAATCTTGTCCACTAAACATACAAGTATAGGATCAAAGCGGCCTTCGTTACAATTTACGTAACTAAACCTATCAATGGTCACATACACATATATAACTAACGACATAGATTAAACATGATGTGCGGTTTTAAAATCTAAATAGATTTCCGACGAGTTCCTCTTTAGATTGAAGTGAGATCAAACTTCAAATAAGTGCAACTAATAATGGAGTTAATCGAATTCTTAATTCTGTACAGAAAAACATAATTATTCTTAAACAAAAAATAAAGCACAATAAAACTCCCACTAAAACCAAATATCACACCAACGTGTGTAGTATGTTCTTGAAAGACCTAGGGAGATAATCCCTTTATGAGCGGATCCGCTTTCATGGAGTTTGTTCATATGTGTTATATATATATATATATATATATATATATATATATATATATATATATTACCATTTATATAATTTCCATAATAATATAAAATTAATGATAACATTATTTATGTACATTTATTAGTGGTCCCAAAATATCCAACAATCTCCCACTGGACCACGAATGTATAAATATATATATATATATATATATATATATATATATATATATATAACTATTTAAGCGCTTTAATAAATGTTATCATAGTATTGGTACCTTGAGCATATAACCTTTTGTTATATATAAATATCTCAAAAATCCTTTTGGTTGCTTTCTTATGATCCAAACTTGAGCTGCGTAGATATCTACCCAAAACCAAAAAGATAAATTTACTCCCACTTAATCTGTGATACACAAAATCATCTATTATATTTACCTCGAAACCAAAATAGATAAAAAAAAATTGATGAAAAATGTGGTACCACGCATAGGATATCCAAAGTTGAGGTTGTTGAGTTTGTGTATTTTGAATAAGAGATTGAATAACATTGTCGATCACTTTTCCATAATTTGCATACTATCGAAAACAATAATAGGAATCAAGATTGATTCCTCCTCAAAGACAATATTTTAACCTTGTTTGATATCCTAGTCCTCTATTTTTCCACTTCGCTTTGATATCCTAGTCTTCTAAATAAAATTGAATCTTTCAAAATTCCAACCTAATTCCTCTATTTTTCCACTTCGCTTGTATGTTTTGTTGGCGTTTTGTCGTTAATGGAAATGGAAACTAACGAGGATACTTCATTTGATGATTCTATACTGTAACACCCAAAACCTGGTACGTCTTGAAACCCTCAAGAATTTACGTTTAAGCATAATTGGTCCCTTGAGTACGTTAGGCGTACCTATGGATACGCTTAGCGTATTCTGCATGAATGATCGCGGAGGAGCCTCATGTACGTTGGGCATACGTGAGGGTACGTCGAACGTACGTGTCATGGGGTCAAAACCCTAAATCACAGACTTGTTCCCCTATTTAATCATCCTTAATCCTCTTGGACCAAACCCTATCAACCTCTTGAGTCTCTTTTCGTCTACTTTCAGCTGTGGTATTGTGTGTGAGAGTTTTGAGTTTAAGGAGAGGGTTTTGGTGGGTATTTTAGAGTTCTTTCAAGAAGGAGAAGTGGTTGTGAAAGCTTGGAACGAGTTGGTGCTTCAAGATCCTGCCTATTAGTCATCTTACAAAGCTTCTGGAGGTATAAAGCTTGCACCTTTCCATCTTAATCTCTAGATCTAGTTAGGGTTTCTTTTTTAGTCCCTTTTTGGATGATTTTGAACCTCCTTTGAGAGTTAAGCAACTCCAGGAGAAGGGATATTCAAATCTGAGGTCCTTTGCTCCTTTAGTACCATAAAAATGGAAGCTTGATGAGAGTTTTGGCCTCATGAATGGGTTAAAAACCTTGAAAATGTCTTAATGGAGAAGTCGGGTGTGTATGAGTCATGCAAAGGCATAAAGTTGCCAACTTTATGCCTTATGACATCTTTATAGACTTAGATCTGGCTTTGGACGTAAAGGACTCGGGTATTAAGCACTTAATGAGGAAAGTGCTTAAACTGAGGGTACGTTGGGCGTAACCCAGTGTACGTGAGGCATAGTCCCATGTCCCAGTACGTTGCACATACCAGGATGGTATGCCGAGCGTACGCAATGCAGATGGGTCGAACCTGTTTTGGGTCTTTAGGCTATTTGGGCCTCATTTGATTATTGGTCCTGGTGTAATCTGGGAATTATGAGTCATATAATTGTTTCGGGCCATGGAATTAGTGTTGGGTCTTTATTGGCCAAGAAGCTCATTAAGGATTTTAGACATGGGCTTTGGGCCCATTAGCAAAGGATGGATATTTGGGCCTTATGGAAGGGTTGGGGAGATGGCTTCCCTTGGTTAACCAAAGTTCTAACATTGATTAATATTATCATTTAGCTTGGGAGGTTTCGGACTGTTAAAAGAGCAGTTATTGTATTCAGCAAACAAAGGTGAGACTTCTCACCGTACCCATGGGTCTAAGGCACCAAGGCCAACCCATTATGTGATTATGATATATGTGTTAGTTATTCTGTGATTTGATGTGATATGTGATTGTGTGTTTTGCATGAAGACCCCAAGGGGGAGCCTGTGGCATTGGATGTAAGACCATGTGGGGTAGCCCATGGCAGTCCTAGGTAAAGACCATGTGGGGTAGCCCATGACATTGGATATAAGACCATGTGGGGTAGCCCATGGAAGTCCTAGGTAAAGACCATGTGGGGTAGCCCATGGCATTGGATGTAAGACCATGTGGGGTAGCCCCTAGCTATCCTAGGTAAAGACCATATGGGGTAGCCCATGGCATTCTTGCAGGTTTTTGTATGCATGGTTTATGTGATATGTGTGTAGCTTTAATTAGCTAACAGGACATGTGTATGCGTGGTGTGTGGTATGCTTTGGGGAACTCACTAAGCATTTTGCTTACAGGTTGTTGATTTGTTTCAGGTATATCTGATCCCAAGGGCAAGGGCAAGGCGTGATGGCGCATCGTGCACTCTATCGTTTTCTTTCACTGTTAGAATTGGGGACATTATGATGATTTGAATAAGTTGTAATGAAATGATGATTCGAAAACAATTATGTTGGGATTTTATGGTTTAAGCAATTATGTTTTATTAATTAAAAAGTAAAAAAAAAAATCTTTTAAAAGTTGGGTTGTTACATATACGGAAGACCTAAGGTAGGTTATAGAAAAGAAAGAACAGAAAAGAAGGATAAATAAAGGAATTTTTTATTGGTCCGGGAATCCAGTCTTGGATTCGGTGTGCATAAAAGATCTTTGTATGTTATACTATTCAATTCTCGACGACGAATTAATTTAATAGCTCAGATATTGTTATTCATGATATTGATCTGATTCAAGATCATCGATAGGTAATGCATTCATTGAATTGACAGGTGAAAGATTTATCCTCTCTATGGGATTAAATCCTGAGTTATTGTGAAATAAAAACGATGAGATTGAGATTATGGAAGTAAATATTCTTTCATTTATTGCTACTATACTGTTCATTTTAGTTCCTATTGCTTTTCTACTTATCATTTACGTAAAAACAGTCAGTCAAAATAATTAATTACTTGAAATGAAACTCGACTTTTGAGTTCTTATCAATAGTTGAAGAAATCAAATCAAAAGAATTATTTTTGCGTTTTAAATGAAATCAACGGGCTATAATGAGCTGTATTCTATGAGATCCGAGAGTATGGTAAGAAATTTCTTACCATACTCTCTATTTGTGTTCTAGTAATGTATAAAGTTGTACTTTACTTTCTAATAAAGTTTGTATACTATATTAGCTTCTATCTTCAATATATGTAATGATTAATCCATATATGGAATTATCGTAGGACCCAATTCTCTTTCTTTCTAAAATAATTGTTTTACTGAATAATTGTTTTACTATTATATAATATATTTCTTTAGTAGAATCCAATAGAATTTCGAAATGAATAAATTTTGATTTGAAAATTATTTCAGTTCAAATAAAAAAATAAAAAATGTGTTGCAGAACGATCCGTAAAACAATTGATATCATTTCATTCCTAAACTAAATTAGTAATCCTTCTAAAGTCCACTTCTTCCCCATACTACGAGTGAAAGGAAAAATGTAAAGACTACCATTAAAGCAGCCCAAGCGAGACTTACTATATTCATGTCAATTATGTCCTTTATCTTTATGCTAGAAATATTCCATTATTGTATTGCTCACTAATAATAGTAGAATCCATGGTCCAGAGTCAAAAAGGGATTATGGCCGAACACTATATTAGCTTCTATCTTCAATATATGTAATGATTAATCCATATATGGAATTAACATAGGACCCAATTCTCTTTCTTTCTAAAATAACTGTTTTACTGAATAATTGTTTTACTATTATATAATATATTTCTTTAGTAGAATCCAATAGAATTTCGAAATGAATAAATTTTGATTTGAAAATTATTTCAGTTCAAATAAAAAAATAAAAAATGTGTTGCAGAACGATCTGTAAAACAATTGATATCATTTCATTCCTAAACTAAATTAGTAGTCCTTCTAAAGTCCACTTCTTCCCCATACTACGAGTGAAAGGAAAAATGTAAAGACTACCATTAAAGCAGCCCAAGCGAGACTTACTATATCCATGTCAATTATGTCCCTTATCTTTATGCTAGAAATATTCCATTATTGTATTGCTCACTAATAATAGTAGAATCCATGGTCCAGAGTCAAAAAGGGATTATGGCCGAACACTATTGATGAACCAATCAAATAAATCTATTTCTGAAAAATTTCTATATGATTTCTAACCGGGAAAGACTAAACACAACTAAAATACACAATGACGCTACAAAGGAATGTTACTAATGGAACATATAGTAATAAAAAAAAACATGGCCCATTCTTTGTTGTCCTTCAAAGTACAAATAAATCAATTGCTATCTATTACATACTTTTATTTTCTATTTGATCTAATATGTACCCTTTCATTTCCCGATTGTCTCTCTCAAGCAGTTGGGAGATAGTATATTATACTATTAACGAGGGGTTTAAAAAAAAATCACGTTTTCTATAAAAAAAGTAAATTATCCATCAAATCTCAATCTAATAGTGATTGAATGCCTAAACACTCAGAGATTCTCATGGGTCTATATTTGTAGATTACATAAAGGACTTCCCATAACTAGTTAGCCGGCGGCGGCTATGCCAATGAAATTCAAGACCCAATCAGTAGACATTAGTAGTAGAAGGGAATCGGGAAGTCTTGCTTCGACCATTATAATATAATCTTTATTTGAATTTTATATTGAAAGATTTCCAATCTTTTATAAAATCCCCAGAATAGATGTTTAGAAATCAACCAAATATCAACAATCGCCTTATCTGTTGGGTAAAATTTGGGTGATTTATATCAGCAGATAAGAAATTTTGATTCGTTTGTTGATGAGATGGCACCCGGATTTGAACTGGGGAAAAAGGATTTGCAGTCTGCCGCCTTACTACTCTGCCATGGCGCCAAAACGATACACAATAAGATAAAATTTTATGGGTTGGATTACTAAACTTTAGTTTATTGTACTTGCATCCCTTTTTTAATTTCATCCTTTTTTTTCTAAATTTATAAAAATTCTAAAAGAAACCCTTTTCCCCGTTTGTTTGACCACCCATTCGATTGATTGTATAGTTCTCAAAACATAAAATCTCGAAAAATTTCCCCTCACTTTTCTATTGAAAAATCAAATGTATATTTTCATTCAAAAAAGCCAAAATTTATGTCACAAAATTTATGACAAATGGGAACCATTAACTATTCGTCGACTGTGAATTCCAGAATGATTCTTGGATCTGAATCTAAAATTGGGGTTGCCTGATGACATAAGAAACTACAAAACACACTTAATTGATTCTTAATCCTTTCAATTTCCATTATAACAAAAACAAAAAGTATATGTAAATCCTACAATGGAAATTCTCACACAGATGCCAAATTGGGTATCTTTTTTAGAGTATGTTTCCTATACCTATAAATATATGGAATTCATTGGGACAAAAAAAGGCTCGGTTGGGTATTGACCGGGCAGACCCAAAAGACACTTCGAACAAAATAAAAGCAAGAAGGTCTTCTTTATTTATCTTTCTATTTGGATCTTTCGAGCATCTAAATGGAATTCCTAATTATATAATAACGATAAAGAATGTGAAAGAAATACTTTCGTTAATCCTTACTTGATGTGTAATGTAACACAATAATTATCTTTTTCATTTGGGAGAGAAGGTTGAGTGGATGAAAGTGGCGGATTGCTAATCTGTTGTACGAGTTATTCATACCGAGGGTTTAGGGTTTAGGGTTCGAATCCCTCTCTTTCCGTTTCCGTTGATGACTTTCTATTTTTTTCTTTCAAATTTCGCAAACCCTTTTTAAATGATTTTTTACTAGTTAAACATATGGAATATGAATATTTAAAATAAAATCTTAAGAAAATTGTAATCAAGCAAGAAAAACGAAAATTTTATTTTATTCTTCATGACCAGGATTACATCCTGAATCATTGGATAGGAATCCAAAGATGAAGAGAGAAAATAAAGAATACTACGGCGACGAAGAATCATATTATCACTATATTTATTCCTTTTTCTACTTCTTTTTCCAAGTGCAGGATAACCCCAAGGGGTTGTGGGTTGTTTTCTACCAATTGGGGCACTCCCTTCACCACCCCCATGTGGATGGTCTACAGGGTTCATAACTACTCCTCTTACTACAGGACACTTACCTAGCCAACGCTTAGATCCGAATCTACCCAAATTTTTCTGGTTCAGCCCTACATGCCACACTTGCCCGACTGTTGCTGAGCAGTTTTTGGATATCACACGGAACTCCCCACAAGGTAATTTTAATGTGGATGATTTCCCTTCTTTTGCAATTAGTTTTGCTACAGCACCCGCTGCTCTAGCTAATTGTCCACCCTTTCCAACTGTGATTTCTATGTTATGTATGGCCATGCCTAAGGGGATATCGGTTGAAGTAGATTCTTTTTTATCAATCAAAACCCCTTCCCAAACTGTACAAGCTTCTTCCAAAGCATACATCTTTCTGGATGTAGATAGTGATATCTATATAGATGGATCTTATATATATATATATATATATATATATATATATATATATATATATATACACTAGGTTAAAACCCGTGGAACCCACGGGTGTTGATTTTGAATTGAATTTCAAAATTAATTATTTAATAAAATAATATTTCATTAATTTTGATAACTTATGAATTATAATTTTTTTTATAATATAATTTGTATAATTGTTTATACTGTGTACCAATGAATTTAATTAAAGATATTAAAGTTAAAATGAGTCGGTTCAGATCCACAGCTAAAAATGGGTCGGAGTCGGATCCAAATAAGAGTAAATAACCATACGAACTGTAACTCGTAACGTGTGTTGTATATGCAGAAAGAAATCGGGTGAAGAAAGAAATACTATCCCAACAACTCTCTTTCTCCTTCTTCCACTGCAACCCTAAAGTCATTACCTGATGTGAATCACGTGTCATCATCCTCATTTCCAACTTAGGGCTTATTCCATTTCCATTTGTTCTGTCCCCAATTTGAACGAATTTTAAGTACGTCGTGCACGTGCTCCTGTAGTCGAGAAGAAGAAGAGAGAAGGTAGGCCCAATAAGCGATCGGAGCATTTGGTGGGTAATCACGTTAAAAATCGAGCGACTGCAGCTAGGGAAGCGGTGGCGGTTGGTGTTGAGCCGAAGCAACAAAAGAAGCCGAGGCTGCCGACTAAGAAGAAGAAAGAGGGTTTAGCAAAATAGTCGGCGGTTGTCATTTCTTAAGCAGAGGAGGATAAAAAGCGAACAGAGAAAACCGGAGAAGAGACATTCAAAGTAGCAATGGCGGATGTAAGCAGTGGCTAAAGCGCTAACAGGGTTACAGGCCAGGAAGAAGAAGGGAATACCGCCCCATTTCATGAATGGGTATCTTGTCTATTGCTCATTCGATTCTTATAATGCTTCTTTACTTATAAAATGCATTGATTTTCAGGTTCAAGTAGGTGGATCACCTCAATATAAGGTCGAAAGAAAATTAGGGAAAGGTGGATTTGGTCAGGTATTAGTTTGTCGTCGTGTATCTGGTGGAACTGATCGCATATCAGGTCTTGGTGCTACAGAGGTAATGTTCTTGCATCAAATAATCAAGCTTACATTTTATATAAAATCTGATTTTTGCAATTCATCTTCTTTAATTTTGGTTGTGACTTGTGACAGGTAGCTCTTAAGTTTGAGCATAGAAATAGCAAAGGCTGCAGTTATGGTCCTCCATACGACTGGCAAGTTTAAAAGTATGTTCACATTATGTTTTTGTGATTAGTAAACAGATTAAAATTGTTCTTTTTTGAATTTAAAGAAGTGGATTTGTTTTTTCTTGGTGAAACAGTACTATGGGTAGGAGTCATGGAGTGTCTAAAGTTCATTATAAAGGAAAACAAATAGATTACTATGTTATGGTATATGCTAATACTTGATGAGTTTTTAGTTTATTTAAATGAATAACTATATAACATTTCTTTTTCTCTGTTTACATTATAGGTTATGGACATGTTGGGGCCTAGTTTGTGGGATGTTTGGAATTCTTATGGACAAACATGAGTTCTCCATAAACCTATGAACATCAAATGATAAAAAAATGCTAAATTAATTAAAGTAAATTATAACATAGATTAGTATGTTGTTGTTTTGAATTTTTTTTTAGACATATACGTAACCAAGATATACTTTTATAGAATGTTAACTGTGTAGATGTAAAATTAGAGAATCGTCCTTGAATTTAAAAAATCATAAGATGTTTCTAAAAACATTCCAGTTTTACAAATTATAACAAAGATTATTACATAGTACATTGCTATAAAACATAGAATACCAATAAATTGTTAAAATTTTAATTTTTTAAAATAATATTCGATTTTCTCAAATTATAGTTATTTACATTTGAAAGTACATTGAAGTTATTGTTATATAAGTCATACAATCTAATAAAATGGATTTAATGGTCATTAATTTTTTTTTTAAATTCATTTTTTTTTACAAAATAAAGAAATGTAATTTTTAAAGTACATTAGTATAAGAATTACAATTCTATGAAATTGTAAATAAAAAAAATTAAAAGAAAACTAATTACTATGAAATTGTAGAATATACCTTTTCATCTACGAAAATCATTTCAATTGAATGAAAATCGTTAGGATTTGTGTTGTTTTTAAGGGTCCATAACTTTAATATTTTTACCTTGATAGTAAAATCAAGATTGACAGGTCAATTTTTTTTAGAAAAGTAAATTTTGTAGCTGTCATATGGGGAATATTTTTATAATTTGTATTAGACATAACATATATTTATTAAAAAAGGTTTTAAAAAGAAAATGTAAAGTACATTGACAATAAATACAACACAATTATAAACATAAAAAAATAAAAATAAGGGCAAAATGGTCATTTCAATTAAATACTAACATCAATGAATTGTGAAATTCTATAAAGTTAATTAAACATAGTATTTGATACACAAATGATTATGGTCTGTCAAAAATTATTTATACCAAATATGATATCCATACTAATATATGCAGTTCTAATTTAACACATGCGAATAAATATGAATACCGAATGTCCGGCCTACTTGACTATCTTTATACAAAATTAAAGATTAGAGTAATGTAAATTGAAAGTACAATGCTCTAATTAGGTCCACAGGAACCCCAAAACAAAGAAAACTTAAAAGCCAAATCAACAAAACATACTGGAATTGTTAAAGCTTTGGATATGAATCCGACTATTTTTTTTACAAACATATCACTTATTTATATCATCGTTATTATAGCAATGTAAATTAAAAGTACGGTGATATAAATAGGTTCACAGTAACAACAAAATATTAAAACCTTTTTGTCCTTTATTTAATTTTGGGTACATTTAAATCATTTTTTAGATGAACTTAATTATGAAAAATAAGACTCACGGCTATTAGGTTCCTATGAATAATAAATAAACTTGTAATTACAAATAAGTAAATTTGATGTTTTGAAGGGTATCACCGTATTAGACGTAAGTTGTTAAAGCTTTGGATCTGAATCTGAATATTTTTTTTAACAAAGATATATGTTATTGTTAATCATTTTTTCATGTTGCCATCGTGTTAATAACTGAAGAGGTAGAAGAAGAAGATGATTAAGAAGAATAAGATTACTCATAATGTTAAATGTTAAATTAATACTACAAATAAATTTGAAAACACTAACCTGATTTTTGTTTATGGAAGCATTGCAGAATTAACAGGGAGGAAAACGATTTTGCAGTAAACCTGGTACCGACAAGAAGGATTGAAGAAAAACTCAAGAAGAATAACGTTTCGAAAGAATTTTATGGAGCAAAATCCTGAAAACCAAATAAGCGTATAAATGGTATAATTGTATATATTTCGGAATTTGATAAATAGGGACAGATTTTTTGGGATTTAATCACTGCAATTTATTTAATATCTAATCACAATTAACAAACTGCCATATTAAATCGGGTTTTTCAAATTTCAAATTTGAAGAACCGATTTTTCATATTATTTTGAAATCTTTTATTAATTTTAATTGATTGGTTGCATATTTTGAATGCAGGTTTTTCCGGATTTTTTGGGGATTTATTGCAATTGCAACTCTATCTTTTGATTTAAACCTCTTAAAGGGCATTTACGTAAATAGGGTTTCATAAAAAAAAGCGGGAAAACTTATTGGTTGGGGTCTAAGAGATTGACATGTGGCATGATTGTACTTATTTATTAGAATAGGGGATATATATATATATATATATATATATATATATATATATATATATATATATATATATATATATATATATATATATATGGTATAATGAACTACCACATGGGTGGATATATATGAATCAAAATCTGTCGAATCACTCATGTTATGATCTTCTACTAACTAGGTCTTCCCGTTCCATTATCTGGATTATGTTCTTCATGTAGCATTCAGACCGGATGACTCTATTAAATTACGTTGATACTTCCACATATTATGGGTAACGTAGGAGACATCTCTATCCCCCCCCCCCCCGGGGAATCTTTAGAATCACCACTGCTTAGCTTTCAATTCACCACTGACCATCAAATGAAATGTGAATAATCCATCCTCTTCTCTTTGAAAGAAGGGGCGCTTCCGGTTCTGTTGGTGCTTGAAACAACTGTCTTCTCCATATTACTATATCTCTAGAGTCAATAATTTTATATGATGAACTACTAAACTCAATCACTTGTTGCCATTACTCTTCAGTTTTCTGTTGACGTCTATCATATAGAGGTACTCAAATTGGATCAGTGATCGATTTCTAGGTTTCGTCGTAAACCTAATTGGTTACTTCTAATTACGTAAATCAATAGTTTAAACCGTACTCAAAGGTAGGGAATTTCCCATTTTTATAGGAACTTATGTACAAGAAACAATGGTATCTCCAGTTATAGCCCCCTGGATGTAAAATATATCTATTCTCACCATCCCTATAGTGTATGAGACGAATGTATGCATTTCGATTCGGGTCATATTCTATGGTTACGATTCTACCATATATGTCTTTTTCATTCCGTCGAAAATCTATTTTAGGGTATAGACGCTTATGACCTCCCCCACTATGCCATGTGGTAATGATTCCTCTGGCATTAGAACCTTTACTACAATGATTCTGTCCATAGATCAAATTATTTTGTGCATTGGATTTCACTTTACTCTCTACAACTCCATTAAGTGTGCTCGGGGTAGAAGTTTTGTATTAAAGTATCGGCATTCTATTAAGTATTTTGATTTAAGTTCTTTTCTTTCTAAGATGTCGAATAGAATAAATTGGTTGAAGGGTAATGATCATACGTATGTAATGCATTGCCTGTCCCATAATGGGTCCTATTCTTCTAGCCTTTCCCCAATGTCGATGACTATTCATCGCGATTACCTTGACATCAAAGAAGAGTTCGACCCAATGCTTTATTTCTGTCCTAGTTGATCCTGATTCG